GCCAGGGGGTCCTGGGGGGAGCCAGGGGGTCTCCAAGGGTTTGAGGGGAGCCGGGGGTGTGGGAATGGGGGGGCTGGAGCCACCCTGACCCAGGCAGGGACGAGCAGGGAGAGCCAGAGCTGGGGAAGAAGCCAGTTCCCCCTTTCCCAGCTCTGCCAAAGGGACCTGGGGGGAGCCAAGGGGTCCTGGGGGGAGCCAGGGGGTCCCCAGGGGTCCCGGGGGGAGCCGGGCGATGGAGATGGGGGGGCTCCCAGCTCTGCCCAGCGATCCCGGCCACCAGGACACAGCCCTGACCCGGCGGCACCCACCTCCCTCCGCTCTTTTCTTCTTCCTCCTCCTCCTCTTCTTCCTCCACAGCCAGACGCCACCGAGCAGGGCTACCACCGCCACCGCCACCACCACCAGGCACACCAGCCACATATCCCAGCCCCCTGTGGGTGGGGGGGCTGGAGCCACCCTGACCCAGGCAGGGACGAGCAGGGAGAGCCAGAGCTGGGGAAGAAGCCAGTTCCCCCTTTCCCAGCTCTGCCGAGGGGTCCTGGGGGGAGCCGGGCGGTCCCCAGGGGTCCCGGGGGCAGCCGGGCGATGGAGATGGGGGGGCTCCCAGCTCTGCCCAGCGATCCCGGCCACCAGGACACAGCCCTGACCCGGCGGCCCCCACCTCCCTCCGCTCTTTTCTTCTTCCTCCTCCTCCTCTTCTTCCTCCACAGCCAGACGCCACCGAGCAGGGCTACCACCGCCACCGCCACCACTACCAGGCACACCAGCCACCTCTTCCAGCCCCCTGTGGGGACAAGCCGTGGTGGGCACCAGGACCCCACCGGGGGGTGGCATCGGGTCCTGGGGGGGCTTTTTTTTACCCTTCTCCTGGCACAGGGTCTCCAGGGGGATGGAGATGTTGCCCAGGCAGAGACGAGCAGAAAGAGACAGAGCCGGGGAAGAAGCCAGTTCCCCCTTTCCCAGCTCTGCCAAAGGGACCTGGGGGGAGCCAAGGGGTCCTGGGGGGAGCCAGGGGGTCCCCAGGGGTCCCGGGGGGAGCCGGGCGATGGAGATGGGGGGGCTCCCAGCTCTGCCCAGCGATCCCGGCCACCAGGACACAGCCCTGACCCGGCGGCACCCACCTCCCTCCGCTCTTTTCTTCTTCCTCCTCCTCCTCTTCTTCCTCCACAGCCAGACGCCACCGAGCAGGGCTACCACCGCCACCGCCACCACCACCAGGCACACCAGCCACATATCCCAGCCCCCTGTGGGGACAAGCCGTGGTGGGCACCAGGACCCCACCGGGGGGTGGCATCGGGTCCTGGGGGGGCTTTTTTTTACCCTTGCACACGTTGTCCAGGGGGATGGAGATGTTCTTCTTCTCGATGGGGTTCTGGGCCGTGCAGGTGACCATGGAGCTGAAGGTGCTGGGGGGCACATCCAGGCACAGGGTCTGGTTGTCCCCACAGAGGTGTCCCCAGGGTGGCCTGGGCTCCCAGGTGACCTCAACATCTTTGTCCGCTGGCACCTGGCACCTCAGGGTGAGGTTGCACCCATGGGTGGTGAGGGAGAGAAGATGGGGCTTGATCTCCAGCTCTCCCAGTGGCCCTGGTGAAGGTGCAGAGAAACACCCATCAGCTTGGGGGACACCCTGGGGACACCCTGGGGACACCCCGAGGACACCCTGAGGACACCCCAAGGACACCCTGGGGACACCCCGAGGACACCCTGGGGACAACCTGTGTCCAGGCAGGGATGGGAGGAAGAGCCAGAGAGGAGGAAGAAGCCAGTTCCCCCTTTGGGAGGGGACCAGGAGGAGCCAATGTGTTGGGGGGGGGCTCTGGGTGATGGCTGCACAGCTGGATCCTGGTAAAGTGGGGTCCCTGCACAGCTGGATCCCCCCACACAGAGGAGGGTCCCTGCCCAGCTGGACCCACGTCTACAAGGAGATGTGCACAGCTGGGTTCCTGCACAGCTGGATCCCCATGCAGTCACCCCCTCTCCACAGCTGGATCCTCACAGGGTCACCCCCTGCACAGCTGGATCCCCATACGCTCACCCCCCCTCCACAGCTGGATCCTCACAGGGTCCCCCCCTCCACAGCTGGATCCTGACAAAGTAGGTCCCCTACACACCTGGATCCCCGCACACCTGGACTCCCGTGTACTAACACCCCTGCACATCTGGATTCCTGCACATCTGGACCCCCACTTAGCAGGGGGAGTGGGGATGGGGGGGGGCTGGAGCCACCCTGGTCCAGGCAGGGATGGGAGGAAGAGCAAGAGAGGAGGAAGAAGCCAGGTACCCATTAT